CGAGAAGGTCCCTAGTGTTATATTGATTGTTAGTACGATCAAATCTTTACCAGCAATGTAGTTGCAAGATCCATCGACAATTCTGACGGTATTTTTTTTCAGAGCAAGGGTAGTAATTCGAGAAAGCTTGCGAGCAGCCATTTATATGATCTGTGACACCTAAATCAATAATCCATGGACTAGAGGAAGAATAAACTATGAGAGCTATACAAAGAATACCTTGTCGGACATGTGAGGTCTATGGACCCACAAAGACTTGATTGGCTCCAAGAAGCCTAATCAATTGTTCCATCTGTTTTTTTAGGGATTTGGAGGATTCTGGGATGTTACAGGCAGGATTTTGTTGAGCCATGTCTGGTTTGGTCATCGTGAGTCCCTTGGCATTAGAAGATCTGGCCAAGGGTTTGTAAGTCGTCTTTCCATGAAGTTTGTAACACTTGTCCCGAGTGTGGTTGGGCTTGTGATAGTAATCACAAGTGGAGTGACCGATTCGAGGTGTCATAGACGAAGGCTGAACACTATTTGTGACCAAGGTGGACGATTCATCTAAAGGGCTAGAATCACCAAGCATGACAAGTTTCCTGCTTTCTTCTTGACGAATCTTAATGAAGGCAGCACGAGTGCAAGGAAAAGGATCCCGACCAAGAATATGGCCCCGAAATTCATCAAGGTATTTGTTAAGGCCAGCAAGGATCAGAACATACAATCATTTTCTACGATATTCTGGAAGAGGGATAAGTCGGCCGGAGAATCCCACGTGTAGTCATAATATAGGTCGCATTTCATCCATAATGCAATAAGGTCATTATAGTACTGGTTCACACTTTTTGACCCATGTTTTGCCTCCCGAATCTTTTTAGATGCTTCATAGAGTTGGCTGGAATATCCTACATCCGAATATGTATCACAGACAGCCATCCAGAGAGCAGTAGCTGAGGGGAGGAGTACGAACGAGCAATTAATGTTTCTATGGAGTTGATCAGTCATGACATGAATATAGAGTTCTCGATTCCCAAGCTCCGTATGTCGGTTCTGTCTTTGGAGGCTCACAAATCATATTTGTGAGGTGACCAAACTTCCCACATTCTTTGATGAACAAAGAGACTGCTTGGGACCATTGGAGGAAGTTAGGAAGTTGTTTTCGTTCAACAACTTATGAGTTGTGATCAAGAAATTTATGTCGGTATCCGCTCCCCCGATCTGCACTGAAGTAGGGTTTGAAGTCAATCCTCCGGTGAAATCAACAACTTCTCCGAGGGTGATTCATTGAAAGAATCAATTATAATTTTGACAAAGGCAAATGATATGTTGTTGTGAGCCATTGTTAAATTTTGGTAGAATCACGAGAATCAAATATACTAGCAGAAATTGCAGGTAGCAGGAACCCTTCCTGCATATCAGCGATAGAGGAAGTTGCAAGCAATAGGAACCTTTCTTGTATATCAGCCACAAAAGTAAATGAGCAGGTAGAAGCTCTTTCTGCATATCAGCGACAAGCAAATCAGCGAGCAGAAGCTCTCTGTAGATCTGTGGCAGAAGCAAATCAACGACAAAAACTCTTCCTGCAGATCAACTCTGAAGTGGCAGAAGTAGCTGGGGATACCACGCTGGGCAGACAGGCGATGCTTCAGGGAGGTTGACTGCTTGAACCTGCAGGGAGGCCAACTGTGTTGCAGAGAAGGAGGCTGGCGGTTTGATCGTGCAAGGACGTCGGCTGCTAGGAAAAGGAGGCGGCTATAGGAACCGACAGAGGAGGCTGGGGGCTGCTGAATTTAGGGTTAGGCTCTAGTATCATGTTAAGATTTGGAATAGATCAGCATAATTTAATTGATAGTAGGAGGGTGTTAGGTATGACTCATATACCATAAATGGGACAGATGCTGGAGCGGAGCCCACGAGCGGAGTGGAGGGAAGAATCTGTTCAATCGGGTGAGTTTCATTATGTGGGTTGGGGGTGCGGGGGCAACACCCTTCGATTTGGTACAGGGGTAATTTAAGTAATTACATATTGTAATATAGGGTAATATATATGTCTTGTTTGTAACCCTTGGAGACTCTCTTAGTCTCTAAGATTCTGTACTTTGTATTCTGTACTATTTTCTGAATATTGAAAAGGAAGTTACCGCTCTGCTCCCGAGGATGTAGACATCTTTGTCGAACCTCGTAAATCTCTGTGTGTTCTTCTGGATTTGTGTCAATTCTTATTTTTCTTCGCTCTAATTTCTCAACAAGTGGTATCAGAGCGAGGTTCTAGGGCAGCAGGGAAGAAAAATTTCGGCGGCGCAGAAACAAAGAAGATTTTGTTCGGAGGAAGATGAAGGTGCGGTTTTTGTTATTCCGTGATCGGTGGAACCACGAAGGGGGCTTTGGGCTTCGGACGGTTGAGTAGAGGAAAGACAGAGGAGGATTCAGAGTTTTTCTGGCTTCGGTGAATTCGGCCGAGGCAAGTTTGCGGCAGGCCAGGTTTGCGAGCAGTCAGTTCCCAGAGGGTTCAGAATCGCTCGCGGGAGAGCAGGCGAAGCTTCGCACAGGCTTCATTCGCCCGACAGGAGGTTTGAGACCATGAAGCAACGTCGACGGAAGGGATTTAGCCTGGGCGCGGGAGGCAGTCGAGCGTACGGAAAGAAAATATTTTCTTCTGAAGTTGAGGTGAAATTTGGTAATCTTCCGATTCGCTTCCTTCCCAGGAAATTTCCTTTACTGGCCCAAATTTCCTTTGCTGGAGGCGTAGGAAATAGAAGGAATGGGAGGCGAAAATTGGAAGGGAGGGCTTCCGATTTGATTTCTTTGTTGAAGGTTGTGGAGAAAGAAAAGGAAATTCACGCGGAAAAGGAAATTTAACACGAAGATATTCCGGAGATATTCTAGGACTCAGGAAAGGCAAGAAAAGGGAAATATGTTGCTGAACTTGGGAAAGGAAAGATTGCTTTCTGGAAGGAAAGCGGAGACGAAGTTTTTCTGGAAGAAAAGCGGAAATAGAACTTTTCTGAGAAGGAAAGCGGATCTTTTATAGAAGAAAAACGTAGCTTTTCTGAAAAGCGGAGACGGAGCTTTTCTTGGAAGTCTAAGGAAAAGGTTTTCTGGGAAAGTTTAATTAAAAAAAATTTAATGAAGGAAAAATTCTTTTTCTGAGAAACTTAATTAAGGAATTACTTAAAAAGATTTGTGGCCCAACCCACATTAGTGCATAAGAAACTCCATGATGTATTTTCTCATAAGGGGCTGGCTGGATATTCGCCAAGGTGGCCAAGGTGGAGATTTGTTAGGTATATGTATTTCTCCTAAGGGGCTGGATATTCGCCCAAGATGGAGATTTGTTGACTCATATACCCAAAATTGGACAAATGTTGGAGTGGAGTGGAGCGGAAGGATCTATCCAATCGGGAGAGTTTTATTATGTGGGTTGAGGTGCGGGGACAACACCCCGCTGTTTGGCATAAGGGTAATTTAAGTAATTAAATATTGTACTATAGGGTTATATATATGTTTTGTTTGTAACCCTTCGAGACTCTCTGAGTCTCTGAGATTCTGAATCTTGTATTATGTACTTTTTTCTGAAAATTGAAAAGGAAGTCGCCGCTCTGCTCTCGAGGATGTAGGCATTTTTGTCGAACCTCGTAAATCTCTTTGTGTTCTTCTGGATTTATGTCGATTCTTATTTTTCTTCGCCCTAATTTCTCAACAAAGGGGTATTTAAACTCAATTATAATAGGCATAATAATGGATACTAATAAAAATAAAATAAAATAACTAAGAAAGAAAATAAAACAAAATGAAGCATAAAATACATAATTAAGAAATAAAATCAAATAATAAGTAATAATAACGTAGGGATATAATTTATAATCTAATGCATATCTATCATCCAAGTTTGATATTTACATATATAGCACCTTAGTGCCATAAACCTATGTATGAAAATGAGTATTTCACTTTTAAAATGATATGGCGGTATTTTTGATATGATGTTAAAGATTGGAGTGGTGTGTCTGTGTGTAAATATGAATGTTTAGGTGTTAGATATGTAAGTACATAAAAATTGTATGGTATTTATGCAAATGCCCCAATATTTTAATGCTCTTCATCTCGATTGGTTGATGGAAGGGAAGGCTGATCAATAATCTGCCCGCTTCTCAGGATTTTTCCTGTTACTTTCTGGCTCGTGCCTTTGGGAAATATTCAATATATACAGGTGCCGACTTTGTCTGTAAAACCTGAATCCACACATTTGGAACTGTAGCTTCTGTACTTAAGAAGGAATATAATAATATTCTATGCTGAAATATCCTTACACAAGCCTGCATAAGGGACACAAATCACAGCTTGATTGTCGTTTAATTTTGAAATTAGTGAAGTTTTTAAAATTTTACAATATTTTAGTTGTGAATCAAGTATTTCCAAGAATTTAGAGAGGTCCGGTGTTGATGGAATTGTATAACCAAAATATCATAAACTCTCATTGAAAGTTGGCTCCTAGCTGTTTGCAATAGCATAGCTCCAAAAACTTGATTTTGTTGAAGACTTCTTGATCAAATTCTGATGGATCTGAAATGATATATTTCAGAGGACCTGACAGAAGCTTTGTTGTCCCACTATAAATATACTTGACTTGGGAAAGAAGTATTGCTACCAAGCGTAGTCATCCATACTACTTTGGATGTTTCAGTTTAATTTTGCTTGCTTTTCTCAAAATCACTTAGTTTTGAAAATGTCATTCCCACGCATCCATTTGTTAACTTTACTTCCGAGGATGTTAGTCTTTATCTCCTATGATGAGAAAATTGTAGGAACTTATTCATATTGACATGAAAAATGTGCCGATTGTATCAAATAAAATAAATAAATAAATAATTTGGTTTGAAGAAATTGTTGATTTTTAGTTCTCAATGCAATCCACATTCGATCCAATCTTCATTTGGTTTAAGACTATTGGTACCACCAAATTACTCGTATCAATAATCTGGAGCATTTTGTCTCTAATATTTTTTTTCATTTTATAGGTCTGGACAACTGAACCAGAAATTCATAGCCTTCAGGTTTATGACATGAAAGATCCTGTGCACTGCTTAACTGCTAATGCCGGTACTTTGTGTTTCTCAACACAAGGAACAAGTGCAAAGGTCAGTGCTTTCTTTTGGATTAAAGTGTTAAAATTGTACTTTGATTATTAAAATGAATCATTTTAGTCCCAAGTGTCTATAAAATTGCTAAATTAGTCCTTAATATTTTTCAATATGGGTTGAAATAATGACGCGGGGCATCTATAGATGAGGCTGCACCTTTGTCCCGGACCTGGACCGAACCAGTCCAAGCATTGCAATGGCCGATTGGTCCTCGAACCCAAGGAGTACCGCCTCCCTTCAAAAGGAGGCCCACTATTATTTATATGGGGATATATGTATTTTTTCCTATTGGTTTATGATTCATTCTTTCTTGTGTTTGTTTTGGGAGAGCCATTGGCATCTCTCTTTTCACTTCTAGGGCTGTATGTAAGGTTTCGAGTGGTGCTCTTGTAATATCTCGCTCCCGAGTTGGTGATTATCTTTCCTCCACCCTTCCCCATCCTTCCCACATCGATTCCCATCATCCTCCCTTGAGTCTGCCGCCCATAACAGAAAGGAGCTTTTGTTTTTCTGCAGTTTCCAGCCTACCAGCCATCCTCCCCCCCTCCATACTGCTGCCGTCCCCAGACACTTGTCCGACTGCTATTTTCCCACCTTCCAGGGATCTGGGACAGCTAACCCCTTATTGTTCCTGACACTCCCACTCCTGCTTTGAAGTCCTTACTTCCGTCACCCAAGGTAGTAAGCTGTCCTGATATTCCTGTAGTTTCTAACCTCTTTTTTACTGCTGCCACCCCACCATCCAACCACTAACCGCCACTTTTGCTGCCTCTCCGGCGGTCCAAACCCCTAGCAGGCACCACGGGCACCCCAGTTTCAACCCTAGTGCTAGTATTGTCTTGTTGTTTGTTACATTTCAGATTTCTACATTGTTCTGTTGTACTTTTCTATTTGAATTCAGCAATAATTGTTATTTTCACTGTTGTTTGGTTACCTCCGGCATCAAACAGTCTCTAGATGGGATTATTTTAGCTCTCATTTAAAGAGTTTAGAATTTGTGGATTAAATTGAAACTTTTATAGACTTTGGGACTAAAATAGGCCACCCCTAAAAGAGTCAGGGACAATCACTTCTTTCTTTCTTTTGCCTTATAATTATTATCGGCAATTATGGCCGTCAAAATCTGTCTTACACGTATATCAGATCTTCAACGGGATTGGCATTCCAAAGCAAGTCAACGTCAACAAAAATGTGAAATGCGTCGCCATGACTAACGAAACTTTATATTGTGGCTGCACTGGCTACAGCATCCAGGTCTCTTTGCAAGAATTTATCTTGAGAAAAATACAACTAATGTGATTTTTGCAAATCTGGACATTCTAATGTTTGATGACTTGTTGGACTATTATGCAGGAAGTAGATCTGAAGAGGGGTACTTCAAATACATTTTATTCAGGGACGAGGAAATTGTTGGGCAAACAAACCATTCATGCTCTCTGCATTCAGGACGTTATTCTCTTTGCCGGCGGGACTTCTGTCGACGGAATCGCCGGGAAGGTGAGTTTGATTCCTCCCATGTTCCAATTGCATGTTACTGTTCTTTTATTTTTCTTTCAATGGATTTGATGAGTGCAGTCTACTGCATCTTCAGCTTTATCTCCCTGAAGTGTATAGTGTTACCATTTATACTGCATTATACACTCACACATGCTTCTATTAGATAACCATAAATGAATGCAGCTGTTGTTGAGATCAAAAATGGAGGACTAAAATTTGATTTTTTTCTTAAAAAAGTGTAGCCGTCCATGCTCCAATGGCTAGGGAAAAAGAGCAAACAAATGAGAATTTCTGTGACAATAGTTTGGTTCTTTGTGACCAAATAGAATTTCTTTCTGCAATTTGCTTTCTATCTTGTTTATTCTCACCATTGCAGAAGAGAAAAAGTTTCAGCATTTTGTCCTGTCAGGAACCAATTGAAGTGGTATGATGCCAATGATAATTGAGTTCTTGTAAAGGTGTTGGGAAATAGGCAATAACAAAATCAAACATAGAGACATTATAAAGAATAGAAGATAGAAAAGAAGATAAATGCACAAAACACACAAATTTTATAGAGGTTTACTCATTGATGCATATGTCCAGTCCTCGCGCACCCACATATTTCCGTATGATTTGATTGTAGAGAGTTATAAATTTAATAGATGCAACATAAAGATGGCATTTGGGAAATTGCTTTTTACAACTAAATCAGCTAGTGTGTGGTGGTCATAAGAAAGCTTTTGTTTGACTTAATATATATATAGTTATATAGTTATAATATCCCTATCTTCTTAAAAAAAAATATTTTCTCCACCACAACTTTACAATCATATTCACGATAAGCTGAATTTGCCCCAAACAAATTCTAAATTTACGAAGAACATTTTCTTTTTCTAGGTAAAGTTGTTGCATGCAAAATGTGAAATAAAAAGTATTGGAGCAACCAGCAGTTCTACAAAGAAGAGATATTGTATGTCACATAAAAATGACATTGAAACCTTCGTTCATCAGCCAGAATAGTGCGGAAAATTAATAATATAGGAATATATAGATCATATAATCTTAAGCATATTTCTATAATGAAGCTTTTATTTCAACTCACTTCTCGGGGCATTTACATACATACCACCCAATTCTTATATCTTTGCATATCCAACACCTAAACTTTGCTTTTTTTACATTTACAACGCCCAAATCTTTCATATCAAATAAAAAGTACCATTATTTTTAACTTTTTAAAACAAAAATACACCTCTTTCATGTATAGATGAGATGGATATATGCAAAAATTGAAATTTAGTCGTTAGATGTGTAAATACATAAAGAATGAATACTATGCATGTAAATCTTCCTTCTAACTATTACACATCTGCATTCCAGGCATTCTCTTTGGCAACAAAAACCATCATAGGGTCATTTATGACAAATTCAGACATCTACAGTATATCTGTAAATGATGATTTTGTTTTCACCGGCACTAAAAATGGATTCATTGAAGTTTGGACTAAGGAAAGGCTGATAAGAGTTAGCTATCTCAGAGTTGGAACTGCAGGAAATACTAAGGTTACATCTATAGCTTCAGATTCTGAAGGAGAGATGGCCTTTTCAGGCTCTTCGGATGGAAAAATTAAGGTTGGAGATTACTATTAATGATTTAATATCTCAAAAAATTTCTTAATTAAGCCTTTAATGATTTTGTTAATTTGTTCTATTTGGGGTTTCGTTACAGGTCTGGATGCTGGAATGAGAACAGTTTGGATTTAATTGCAGGAACTATTCGTGCTCAAAGATGACCAACAAAGGTAAGATTTCACTTCTGTTTCTTCCAGATTTGGATGATAATTTTTAGGTTTTGATGGGCGTGCAGAGTTTTTTTCTGTAAATTAAAATTTGCATGCATTTCATTTTACATGTCAATAAATTGGATAATTCATAGTGTAACTTAATTTCTGTATATATTTATTTGATTGACTTCTGTAGGCGATTTTCATGAATAAATATTTTGTGCTCATTTTCCCAAGTTAAATTTGATCATATTTGATTTAATATATAATGGAAGATTATCATACATTCCACTTGTATCTTATCTATGTCTGAAAATATGTATTTCACTTTCAAAATTATAATAATGTTAATTTTAATGTGATATATGAAAGATTTGGGTGGTGTAAATATAAAAAATAAAGGTTAGGTGTTAGATATATGAATACATAGGACTTTGGTGGTGTGTATGTAGATGCCCCTCTATATATATATATATATAACTAAAGGAAATCGATATTATTTGGTCCAGTGGGCACCAATTATTGATTCCCCATATGGGTTGAAAATCCGGTGTGCTTGATTCTGATTCGAAGAACCCATACCACGGGATTCAAACCCCCGATCTTTCACACTATTAGCCAGAGTCTTTCACACTATACGCCTTTATATATATACTTGCTACCCTAGATTCGCATATATATATATATATGGTTAAAATAATTTTAATATTTATTATATCAAGCAATCTAATATCTAATTTGATCATAATTGAATCATTCAATATTAAACCACTTTTTTAATTTTCAATTTAATTTTCACAATTTTGATGCATAGTTTTGCTCTTTCCACGCTCATAGTACTAATTATTATAATTTATGACAAATTCAGTCATACTTTCTCCTTTCTTTAATTCATTATATTTGAGGTAATATAGATTTTGAGATAATTTTAAGTTGCCTATATTTTCACACGAAAGGCAATTCACACATACCACCTGATTTTCATATATTTACATATCTAACCTCTAAATCTTACTTTTTCATATTTTCACCCCCCAAATCTTTCACATCGCATCAAAAATTGTGTTCCAGTTAATAATAAATCATCAAAGACGGAGAATACAAATTTGCCTTAAATCTCCATATAATAAAAAAAAAATTCAAAAAACACCCCAAATGATAAAAAGATTTACATACATACCACTCATTTCTTACATAGCCACATAACTGAACACGTTAACTTCAACATAAATAAGCATTTAAAATTTAGGTGTTGGATATAAAGATGCATAAAATAGAATAAAATACATAACAAAAATGATCCCAAACAGACTAAGAAATCCAAAGCTCTCATAAAAAAAGCAGTAGAATTTCTTTTATCGTGAATCTCATTCTGATCAACAACAATTGAATTAGCCTCTATTTCTAGTTTCTACATTAAAAAATTATCCAAATATGCATCAATTTACCAAAATAAAACATTCTAATAATAATAATAATAAATAATAATAATAATAATAATATAATATATCTCACACAACACCTGAAGGAAGACGCAGAACAAGCTGCCCACCGAATACACTGAAAAATAAAAAAATATATATTTTTTTTATTAGAAATATATATAAAAAAAGAAATGATTTCAGTGTATACTTATAATTTCAAATGGATTTTACCTCTTCACATAATAATAACAGAAATCAGCAAGGATGAATGTTTGGACTATTTCAGAGAGGAGAACCATTGATGGCCACAAGCCGTATCCAAGAGCAGTCAGCAATCTTCCCCGTGTGTCCAATACCTGCAGCAAGTGCAGCAGTTTCAATGATAACACCACATAAAATGGAAGATTTACATACATGACGACTAAAATCCTATGTATTTACATATCTAACAACTATACTTCAATTTTTACATTTTAGGAGTTAGAATATAGAGGTATTTTCGATGTGATACTAAAGATTTGAGTGGTACAACTATAAAAAAAAAAAAAGAAGTAAAGTTTGGATGTCAGATATGAAATACATGGGGAATACATGGGGATTGATTGGTATGTATGTAAATGCACATTTAGATATATGCATATTAGAAAGAGAGAGTGATTAGAATGCATGTATTAAAAAAAAATGTAGGGAGTTGTTTGATTGGATGTAAATTAAATGCGAAATTGTTGTCTTTTTAATAGGATGCATTTCAAAAAACTCTTTTTCTCGTCTGTATCTTCTCGACGACTCACACAAGGTCATCGGCAAGGGAGGAGTCGTGAGAGGGTGTATGGATATGAGGATAGAGAGGCGACAAAAGTGAGAGAGAGGACGTGTGACATGCATAAAGATGGGGAAGGCGTTGCGGGCTAGGGGGGACAGGGAAGGGCGTGATCGACATGAAATTGATAGGTAACAGGTAAACGGATAATGGCAGTGTGACTTGGCAATCCGTAGGTGTTGTCGATTTTTACATGAGAAAAGTGTCAGAATAGTACATTGATTCGTTGCAGGGGGACCTTTTTTGTCCTAGTCCTAGAGTCAATAAAAGTATAAATTTAGTCCCCAAATTCATTTAATATGGGCTAAAATAGTCTTCAAGAATGACTATTTCAACCCCAATTTTAAAAACCTGGAGACTAATTTGACATTTTTATAGATTCCGAGACTAAAGCAGACCCATGTAAACACTCAATGGAATATTTTGGAGCTTTACTCATTTTCAAATGTAGGAAAAGATATTTCAAATCCATCATTTTTTTTACTTTGTAATTCCTTTGTTTCCAACCTAACAAAAAAGAAAGAAAAAAAAATGCAAAAAAAATAAAAGACAGAATATTGCACACTTCTAATGCATCCAACCAAACAGCCCATAAAGTGGACCCGCCCAATGAACCCACCAGATAAACCTTTTAGTTTTCATGACTTTTACCAAAAAATATATCTGCGAAGCGTCCGTGAAACAAGTTTCAATTGATGGGAAAACAATGAGTGAGTCATACACCATCTTGAGCTCGAGGACGAGTTTGAAGCCATCAAAGGTAACGTTCATGAAGTATTTTAAAAAAAAATTATCTAATTTATTTGGTCTTGAGTCCATTCACAAACATGAAAGTGAAAGTGTACGATTCATTTGAATTAAATAAATTCAGCTTCCTTTCTATGTTGAAACTATGCAGTACCAAAATTAAATTTTGAGTCAAGTTTATAAAATGATTCTCATTTTTCCAGAATATAAACTTAGGAATTTCTCACTTTTCTCTATAGCCCCATATATGATAATCCCATATGGAGGAAGTCATGACAATGAATGAACGAAGTTCCCATTCTCGTACGTAATTTTTTTTTTTCTTTTAAGATTTTAAATAACTCTTCTAAATGTTCAAGATGAGAAGGAATTCTGATCATTTGGGCATTGTTGAGATGCATGAATCCGATATTCTTCATCATTGCATGGGATTTTCGAACCTCCATTCCAGATTTCGTAGTCCATTAAACATCACGTGTTCACTGCAGTCCACGACTTCAAGTGGTTTCTCGTCCACCCCAACCAAATCCTATGATAGATCCCACAACACCTCCACACTCGATAACACAGCCATTCATTCAATTTTGCAGTAACAACTATAGCGATTGCCATGTTTAGGATAGAGAGCTCAATTTAGTTGTGACATGGCATGTAATTCTTGGCAAAATTGACTAAGTAGAGCAGCTTCTTGTTAGTAGAAACTCTAACTCAGGGATGTCAAATCAGATTTGTGGGTCAGGTTCAAGGCTGACCCGAAATTGACCCAAACTAAATTACTTGACCCGAATATTATATGGGTCAAAATTTCCAACAAACCCACCCCGCTTTCAACCTATCGACACAAACCCGACCTGTGCCATATATTTAACATAAGATGTAACAACTATTTGGGTTAATTTTGGGTAATTTCGAGTTTGTCAGTTGATTTTGAGTAAATTTCGGGTTAATGATTCGGTTTTGGGTCAATTTCAAGTTGGGTTCGTCAACCCGAATCTAACCCAAAAAAAAAAAGGTTTAGAATTCATAAAAGACAAACAACCAGTATTTCTCTCACGTGTACACGAAGATCTATACACGCTTTCTAGGCAGGTAGTTTAAAAGACAAACAACCACAGTGTTGCAAACTACCGATCATGAGCAGAAGCAAAAGTTTATATTACTCGCGAATAGCCCCTTAAAAGGGATGGCACTGAATGAGACTGTTGAAATTTGGTTTAGATAGAATTACGAAGAATAGGAGCACAAAAATGAAAGAAACAAACTATAAAATTTAAACAAAATTGAAAATTTAAAAATCATCTAATTAGCGGTGAATGAGAATTGAGGATGAATACTTAAACAATTGTACATTTTGCACTGAATGAGATGAGAAGTACAAAGAACCGAATAGCTGCGAACATGACAATTTGTTTGATGAGCTTGAATATAGCCTCTCATTGACTTTCAGAATAATCAAAACATGAATCATAATTGCTTCAAAAAGTGATTAAATGAGTCTCTATTTGAAAGCAAACGAATATCATTATGGGGTCAATTTGAGATCTCACTCGGATAAGAGTTAAATGCAAACAAATTGTAATAGTTTAAATACACACAATCAAAGATGAATTTTGAAGAATTCAATTAAAACTTTCTAGGCTTTCAAAGATGGATATATCCATGCCAGTGTTCAAATTTTAAACGATTTCAAGGCTTACACTTTTCATGAGTCTAGTTTTAATTTAGATACATCACCTCTAAAAACATGCACGTGCCTTGAGTTTCATGCAAGGGTTTAAGAAAAGGTGTGGTTAACAAAATTTTTAAATCTTTAAGATGTGCGCTCATCCCAAGATAATCTTTCCAGTGCTCTTGAACACATGGGCATGCATCTTGTAAACTCACCGAAATTTATGCAAGTGCATGGCGCAAATGCACCAAGATGTACACATAACAATAAAATAAAAACTTGTACGTGCTCCGACAAATATACTAAATATTCAATTGTAAAATCTGAGAATAATATGCGACCAACCACTAAGCTTTAATAGCGCACATGTACTCCAACCACTATGTTGAATGTCTTAGTATAGAGTCTGAGAATATTGCATGGGTTGAACACAAGTTTAAGATAAAATATGAACCACCTTGAGGAGCATGAGAGTTATCCAAAATTTTCAGAAATCACATTTTTTAAAAAAAAATCAAAATTATTAAATGCTGCACACCCTCAGGCGAGCCATCTTACTTACAAGGCAAGTCATAAGTCTCACATTTTCTAGTATGATCCTCCTTGCAAAAAATTGCAGCAAACAAAAAGAAATTCCTATTTAGACAGCCTGATCATCCTCCTCAAAATGACTGGGGTTAACAAAACTAAACCCCTATTCAGCCAATCTGATCATCATACTCAAAAGAACTCGAGTTGACGAGATTGATGGCTTAGTAACAATTGAATATTGAATTTCAATCAAATTGCAATTTGAAGGTCAGTATCCAATCTAGTGATAGGCTTGTTCATTACAAATTATAACTAAAAAGCTTGATTTCTAAAATTTAAATTATCCATCATGCAGCTGAGTTAATAAAAAATTTCAACCATAATAGCCTACTTTAGGAATGAAATTTTATGTTAAAAATATAAACTCCTGATTTGAGGATTATAAAGGGTAATCATGTTCTTAATTGTCAGAATCGATCCTCCATGCATGAGTTACAAGGATTCATAATACAGTAAATTTTCAAATGAATGCAAATTAAATGTTAATCATGAACCCGATTCTCTACAAATGAGGTAGATTGATAGGTTATACAATATTACAAATGAATTTAGCTTTATGAACCCAACTCTCGATAAGCGACAAAAACTCAATAAGATTCAAAGCTATTCAAATCTCCGTTGATGGTCGTGTTGAATGCAAGTAACAACCCGAGGGGTCCACTCATAAAACCAAGCTTTCAAGTAAAAAAAACCAAAATCAGTCCTTGAATTATGAATTTGAATGACACAACAGCTTTTATCCCTGATGGAGGTTGTGTTGAATTTGAATCTCATCTTAATAGGTTTGTTTATAAAATCAAAATTTTAAAATAGAAATATCAAAACATTCATGCAAAATGCTATCAGTTAAAGCTAAAGAGTAATCCTCATTCACCGTCTGCAATTGCTTGGAGAGAATGATAAATTCAATGTTAACTTAAGCTCATAATGAGCTAAAACGGAATCAAATATATTATAATGTTCACATTGACTCATATATCAATAAATATGTGGCTTGATTCATTTGTTCGGATTATTTGGCCAATCAATTCTACAAAAGAAGTGGTTACGACCAAAGCTATCTGACTAAGTGGTTTAGTCATCACGCTTTAATATATTATGGTCACACTTATAGTCCTTATATTTCCCAATAACTATGCCCCTTTGACTGGTAAATCATATGATATACTTAAAAGAGCACAAATCCTCTTTTAGTTAAGGTTTTACTTCAATTTGTCCCCTTAGAAAAACATTATCTCAAGTGTACAAGATCCCTTAGATGAAACAACTAATTATTGCTGACAAATATCATTCATTCCATCAAGTTAGATCAACTACTTCATCTAACTAAATAGATCAAGGATCGTGACAACCTAAAACAACATAATCATCATATCTTGATCAGGTTCATCATCATTCCCCCCACAATCAGCTCTAAACTTGGGATCATAAATTTCATAATTCAAAATTTAAGTTTGGTACTATTATATTCTGAGTAATTAGTACTCTAATGACTAGCTCTGATAGATATCAGTAGGGTTAATTAATCATAGGGGCTTACACCTATGAGAAAACTCAAACCCCAAAACTTGAAAATTCTCGCAAAAGGACCTCAAATTCCCTAGGTAGTGCTTTATCTACAATGTCATCTACCTTTTGAAAAATTGACCAAAAACCTCAGCATAAAACTCTCTCATTCATCTCGAGAGAGGCCGGGGTGTGAATTTTTTGTGCCCACATTTTCCTTCCACCATTAAAGTTCTCCAATCCACAAATTCATTCAGTACGCTAAGTGAATATGCCAAAGCAAAATGCACTGTATTTAACAAACCTGCTAAAAACCTGAAACATAACTAGCACAGAACTACACCGTTCAACATAACAAGAGGACACATAGAAATAGACAAGAAAGGCTGCACTGAAACAAACCTGAAGAACCCAATGGGCACAGCTCAAAAACCTGGCAATTCCTAATGCAAATACGTAGTGTGCAGTAAATGGCTCAACAATCTGCACAAATAAACACATTCAGCAGAAAATATAAAGCATATAATGTAAATTGATATAAATCATATTATTTCATATTTACCTTGGTGTTCTGCATCAAACGGAGCTGTGGCAACACAGAAACAGCTTCAAGATAAACACAGAAGGCCCAGAAAATCCTGTTAACAAGATTGTGTGATGTAGTTGGGTGAACCAACAAAGCTAACACTGCACAGGGCACAACCTACATATGTTTGTAAGGCGAAAAACTCAGTCAGCAACAGTTTGAAATATTTGTAATCCAATTATTTTAAAAAAAGGAAATTTAGATACATACCACAATATTTTTGTATTTGCATATCTAACACCTAAAGTTTGATATTTAGATTTCTAACACCTTGGTGTTAGAATTGAAAAAGTGTACTTCGCTTCTAAAAAGATAATATCTGATGTTAAAGCTTTGAGTGGTATGTTTGTAAATATGAATTTTTAGGTGTGACGCAGGGCTAGGGAAGCCAACCGGATGAACCGGCTCACAACAGACCTGGGACTTGATCTCAGTCTGATTGGGGACCGATCCAGGTCCCTGCTGGATCGGGCGGAATCTCAACAGGGTGGGACTAAAGCCCCTCCCTCCCTCCCTCCCTCCCTCCTATGTTATTTCCCTATTGAAGCCTACCTTTTCTGTTATTTCCCTATTGGAGTCTTTCTAAGTGCTGCTTTCTGGAATTAGGGCTAGCTTTTGTTTTATTATTGTTTACAGATTCCATGTGAGTCTCCTCTTCTCTTGCTAGGGCTGTATCCAATGGGAGGTGTTGCTTTGGTTGTATCCTGCTTAGCGGTGGTGTTTTTTCTTCTCCTATTTCCCTTCCTACCACTTTTCCTTCCCCTCCCTTCTTAGCGGTGGTGTTTTTTCTTCTCCTATTTCCCTTCCTACCACTTTACCTTCCGCTCCCTTAGCCGCCGACCACCCCTCCTCCTGGTTGGCCAGCCACCCCTTTTTCCTGCAGTATAGTTTGCTGTCCAACCCAATCCAGCGGCCAAACCCCACCTGATGTCTCTCTCCCTGCAGCAGCCCGTGCTGTCCACCAATGCAACCACTACTCCACAACCAGCCAAACCATTAACAGCAGCTCATCCTGCTATCCAGACCATCCTGCCAGCACCCAGCACTCCTCCACTTCCCTACCTCCTATCCTGTCGCTTCACTCCCCAGCCCCCAAACTGCCTACTAAATTCCTTCCCCAATCTACCAAACAACCCCCAATCCTTCCTCTTCCCCTTCCCCTTCCCCTTCCCGTTGCTGCTGCGCCGACGCAACCACCATCCTCGGGTCTTCTCTTCTGGCCCTAGCTGGAGGAGGTTGTAGTAGTGTAGTATATCCGTTTTGAGTCACGTTCTATAACCCAAATTCATTTGTTTAATAAAGTGCTTTCGTTTCCACTTATTTTTTAACTAATTAATGGCCTAACCCTAATCCTATATTAGGGTTTCCTAGCATCCACCACAAGCAAAAAAAAATTCTTTCCTACCACCAAATATCCTTTCCACTTCCACAAAGCCCAAACCATAACCATGCCACCAAAAAGATATATGTCTGAGCCTACCCGGGAAGAGATATAGAGAGAGGTTTGTCACCTTCAGTAGAGGCTTGTGGAAATTGATTAGATGATCCAATGGGATATTACCCTCGACCGATATCTAGAGAGTCGAAGAGAAAAAAGAGAGGAGGATCTGAATCCCTTCCATAGGAAGAATTTCAAGGATGTAGAAAACAAGCCACGGAGTTTCAGAATCTAGTATTAGAGTAGGCCTGAAGAGGGGTATCTGAATCTCTTCCACAGGGAGAATTTCAAAGAGGAGATATCCTTTGGAGGGCACAAAGACTTCGCATCAAAGTGGATCTGCAAGGGTTTGATGGGGGTATGGATCTAGAAAACTTTATTGATTGGTTGCAATTTGTTGAACGGAACTTCGAGTATAAGGATGTGTTAGAGGATAAGAGGGGCAAATTAGATGCTATCAAGTTGAAAAAAAGTGACTCTTTGTAGTGGGAGAACTTACAGTAACAGAAAAAAGGGAAGGCAGCAATAAGATTACAAGACAAGAGAAGATGAAGAAAATAATACTGAGGAAATACATCCCACTCCATTACAACCAGGATATATTTCTGAGGCTCCACCTACAGCAGATGGATTTGTCAGTAGAGGAGTTCAAGGAGCAGTTTGAACAGGTGCATATGAGGTGTGATTTGGTTGAGCCAGAGGAGCATACCATAGCTCGTTATATGGGGGGTCTGAAGCCCGCTATTAGCAACATAGTGCAGCTGCAGCCTTATTTATCACTTAAAGATGTTCAAACTCTAGCCTTGAAGATGGAAAGACAATAGGAACAAAACATGCAGCAATCGTCCTTCAGGCAGCAGTCGTCGGTGAAGCAGTCACCTATGCTCAGAGGTAGTGTTGTATCTTCTCCTATTCCCCTTCCTACCACTTCTCCTTCCCCTCTCATAGTCGTCGGCCACCCCTCCTTCTACTGGGCCAGCCACCACTTTTTCTTGCAGCATAATTTGGTGTCTGACCCAATCCAGCAGCAAAATCCCACCTGACACCTCTCTCCCTGCAGCAGCCCATGCTGTACGCCGATCCAACCACTGCCCCGCACTAAGTCGAAAAATTAACCGCAGCTCTTCCCGCTGTCCAGACCATCCCGCCAGCACCTCTTCCCCTTCCCTCCCTGCCTCCTATCCTGTCGATCCACTCCAGCCCTCATACCATCCACTAAATTCCTCCCCAACCTACCAAACAGCCCCCAATTCTTCCCCTTCCGGCTTCTCCTTACATCTGTGCCGACGCCACCACCGTCATTGGGTTTTCCCTTCCAGCCATAGCTGGAGGAGGTTGTAGTAGTGTCGTATTTCCGTTTTGAGCCGCGTTCTGTAACCCTAATTCATTTGCTTAATAGAGTGATTTTGTTTCTGCTGATTTTTGAACTAGTTCCAGTATTAAGGTGTTAGATATGCAAATACATAAGAATTGTGTGGTCTGTATATGTAAATGCGCCTAAAAATAAAGAGCGGGGGATGGAGGGAGAGGGGGACAGTAAAGGCTCTCAATAGAGGTATGTCGACATCTCATCAATCACGCAACAATGACAACAGAATTAATCAGTCAGGCACCAAGAAAAATGCCCATCATTCGCATTCTGTTTTCCATGTCAAAAGTTTTTTTTTTTTTTTTTTAATCACTTTTTTCTTTGTCGTTTCCAATCAATATCCGTAAATAACGGGTACAGCTCGAATCTTTGCAGAACAGCACAACGTATATCGTTTCAAATTGAAGAAAATGAAACTAAAAGTTTGAAATTAAAAGAGAGTTAAATCATAGAAGTAGAGTTTTCCAGCTGCTGTAAAAAAAATGTGGAATATAATCTTCAAAAGCATTTGTAAATCAGAAACAATAAATTTAAAAAACACGAAAATAACAAAAAATACTAAATCGCTAGATATGAAAATATCAAAATGGTATATAGCATCCAACTCATGGGCAAAGCTTCCTTGGGCTGTTCAAACAAGCCTGTGTAAGCTTTCAGATTGGCTCTGTTATCAATTTTTCAAAACCTACTCACGAAGACATGAAGCTCAACAAAGTAATATCTGATCAACCCAACTATTAAAATATGTTATGAGTCAAACTAATTTAGGTTCTTATTAAGCTATATTTGGTTAGAAAAATATTCAAAAGATTCTTAGTAACATTTTGCACATAAATTAATGTTATAATTCATCATATTTCTATTTGACTCGCTTGAGAGAATGAAGAGACTGGTTGAGCTTTTTCAACAAAAATAAACTAAAAGGCTGCTACGCCTTGACAACTTGAGGCGTATTTAAATTCATTCTCACTATAAAAAATATGCCACAAAAATCAAAGCTTCCACCTAAGCCAACATGTAACCCCATAAGTTTGAAACATTTTAAATAATTTTTCAAAAAAAAACTCTCTGTTCTGTTTCCCTATTCTTTACTAATTTTTTAAATTTAGGGACTTATTTTTGCAAATTTGTAGACTGGAATGTAGACTTGAAGATTTAAGCCAATTTGGAAGAATCAATTTAGTTTTCAATAAGGAAGATCTACAATGAAAAACTTATGTGTGAAAAAAATTAAGGAAAGTATAGATAACAAGGAAAATATCATCAAATATTTTTTATGGATCATAAGAATTCATATTATCGAGTACCATAGAAATTGATATGATGCACATTAAGAAAAAATATAAAGAAATATATGATAGAAAACAAACTAGTATTATTAGAAGTAATTATGGAGTCACTTTAGAGTTCCCAATTATAATTAAATTACTTCAAGATATGAAGTTCTTGTCTTAAATCCTAAAGATGCTTACAGAAGACATACAGGGAGAGGTATCTCGTGTATGCTTAATCGATGAAATAGTTCTAATTTATGAGACATCTTCTGAAATTCATATAACCTATATTTTGGCTCCTTAATTTTCCATTTTGAAGATTTAACAACTCTAATGCTTTGAGAATTTAGCAACATGTTGAGAATTTGTAGTTTTCGTTTCCTTTGTAATCCACTAAATTTTAGAATTAAAATGAAACACAAATTATCAACCATCTCAACTCCTAAAGTTCATAAACTATCTACTAAAGTTTTACATTAAACAACTCAAAAATCTAAATTTAAATTTAAATCAAATTTTATTCAAATCTTTCAACAAATCCTTAAATCCCCCCATAAAATTAGCTGCCTAACATAAATCCAAATTCAAACCTAACTAAACCTCATCCAACTGATTCTCTTTCAAATCACGCCTAAGCTTGACAAATATTCCTAATTGGATAAAAACAAGACAAACAAATATAAATGAATATTCAAATTAAATTAAAGGATTGAACTATAAGTGTGCTTTGCAAAAAGAAAGAAAAAGTAGAAATAAATAATTTTGTAGATGATCCTCATCCTAAAATTAAAACAAAAGTATGGTGTCAAGCAGTTTATCAATTCTACAACAGGTCTATCAAATCATCTGTTATCCATATCTCGGTAAATTCTATATCCACATTCTCCAAAAATCATTTTATTAAATATGATCAATCCTTTGGTGCATCGACTATTAAGGTTATTTGTTACAAAAGTCAAAGAAAATGTCATATCACCTTTTGATGTCCTCATAATATTATATCATTTGTGCAAGAATCTAATGAGGTTCCAAATTTTGAAGACAAAAATATTAAAAATTTTAAAGATAATAAAACTTCTTTCATATAATATGAATGCACATAACAAGCTAATATTATACATGGTAATGTCATAAAATTTATATTGATAATTTCAAATCTTAAATTGAAACTAAAACTAAAACTACATGTGACATTTAAAGAAACATACATAATTTGAAATGTTTTCTTTACAGGCTAGTATCTGACCCGAGAGGAAGCGAATTTTGGTAGCTTAAAAATGTGTTTGACCTGAAAGATAACCCCTTTGCGGTTCTCTATTAAAACCATGTTGAATCGAAACACATAAAAATTAATCACTTATTTTTTAAAATGTGTACTTTAATTTGCATATTATTTTGTTTTTTATGATGAGATCTACCTAACCATTTTGTTGAAATTTAAATAAAAACAATTTACTTGTAAATGAATTTTTAATTCATCTAATTCACCCCATTTCGAGTGACCTATAAGTCATCAATTGACTCCATTCTTTTTTATGATTTATCCATTATAAAGGCTTAAGTTATTAAATTGCTCAAAAAATGCATTATATGATTTTCTTGAATTTTATGATGAGCATTTGCATGAATTAATTATTCTTTGTAAATATTTTTTATTATACATGATGAAAGATAAAATATTGTCGAACAAACTCATTACCATATTTGGAAATTTTATATGAATAATTATGATATAGTTAGCCTATTTTGGCGCATTATTTGCACTCCATCAATTTGTCTACTGAAACCATAAGAATCTTGTATGTTTGCACATATTTTTTAGTTTAGCAATGGTATGTGTTTTTTTTTTAATGATGCTAGTCTATTACTAATTTGAAGAACCTTTAAGCTTATTGCGCCTATTATCATTGCTTCTATGGTTGAATTTTATGTAAATAAAAAATTGTTTCCTTCTATCATATACAATTGGTAGCATCTAGAAATGCTGCAATTTTATTAATAATATGGATATATCTTTTACCTTACAGAAATTATATAGTCCTCATAAGGAAAAATATACTGCTTCTCCATTAGCCTATGGAAAGCTTCCACCACCCTTACTCTCCATATAAGAGTTATTCCCATCCCAAAATAATTAATGCAATCCATCATTGTCATTTGATTAATGATGATTGGGATAGCAAGGATTTAATCATGTATCAACAGTTCATATAAATTCAACAATTCTCTTAATATTATCTCTTACTCTCATCAATTGATAAACAGTATTGATAGTTTCGACTTCTAGTTGTTAGGTTATTTCTATAAACAATCCCTTATTCCTTATAAATATAACATATATGGACAGTTCCCATAATTTTTCTCAATAATTTTTTCTTCTACTCAACATTTCTAATGCTTCAAAAATTCAACATCTAAAACTTGACGAGCCGTTATTTTGATTATTTTTTTTTATTTCAATTCCCAATTTCTTCTATAGTTTTGTTGTGTGTTGCGTCATCAAACATTTACATCTCCATTTAATTTGTAATAAGACCCTTTCATAGCCCATGCTAATGTAGAAAGTTATCCACAATTCCAATCTCCCAAGTCTAAAAGAGATATGAGAAGGAAAAATGTTGTGCATCTTCTTGCATCCATATTTTGCCATAAATTCATAAGATTTATATGGAGCATTCAAATTCTTGAGTAATACTATAGGTTTCATATACACAGGCAAGTGTAACTTGTTTGCGTTGAGGCCTCTTTAATTTTAAAGATAAAAAGTTGAAAAAGTAAAGATTATGAAATGTGGCCATGAACCTCAACAAATTAATATATGATTAGCTCAAATAGAATTTATGTTTAAAATTCTAACTAATTTAGGTTACATTTAATATATTTAGGTTCACCACACTCATGAATAACCTACCTACACAATTTAATATTACAATTGTTTGAATCCTAATTGATTGATTTGATACAATGTGGAAATTGGTTGAATTGGGCCCATCTTTTTTTGGAAACTGGTTCAATCACTTTGGGCTAAATTACAATAGAATTGGCTGACGTTATGCCATTAAAATTAGTTTTGTTACCCAACAACAATAACAATGTAGAACATGCTTAAGACAGGATATAGGTGCATAAAACAGACTAAAAAATGATGCAGATAATATTCACGAGCCATGAAAATATTCAACAAAAATATGTAAAATATACAGGTTAAAAAAAAAGGAGAGAGAAACATATGAAATGCAATCAATACATCAAATGGTTTGTTCAAAAAAAGTAAATTAAAAAAAAATCATCTTAACACGGTTTTATCGCTTCAATCCATATTTTTTTAACAATTCCATATATTGCAGGACAAATCCAAACAAACATCCAGGAGAAAAACAAAATATTACCACATAGTATATTGCGAAATTGTCCTTATCTTCCATGTAGCTTGATTTTAGTTTAAAACGAATCATATAAATAACCCACAGTGTTGTTACAAGAGTGGCAGAATCCAGCAACGTGTGTATATCATACTCCATAACAAAACTGCAGTAAAGTCTAACAGATAAGAACAAAGCTGTTAATTCCTGAGACTTGAGGGATAGTCCTGCAAAAACACAGTAGTTCATATCATGAAACATGAAATCGAATCAAGAGTGATGGAAATAAATTGACAGGTAAGCAGATAGAAACATGAAGATGCAATACCCACAAAATAAAAATTATTATAAGGGCATTGACATGCATACCACCCATTTATATCACCCAAACCTTTCACATCGCATCAAAAATACCACCGTTTTAACTTTTAAAAAGTGGAAGACACCTTTTCTTGCACAGGTAAGGCGGCATGCATGTAGAAATTGAAGTTTACGTGTTAGATATGTAAATACATCGGAATTAAGTTGTATGTACGTAAATCCTCCAAAATTATTATAGTTTTCAAGTGATGATTCCAAAATGAAGGCCCTAAGAAATCAATTTTCTAGCAATTCAAGCCCATGGGCGTTGAAAATTTATGTGGCAGCAAAAGCAGAATATAGTTCATTTCTAGATTCACATTACCACGTACTGATAGAATATCAAAAAATTAATGCCACCTTAAAGAAATATGTAAATAAAAGAACGGGCTTGAATTCAGCTCGAGATGCATATGTATGTAGAAAAAAAATTTTAAGGTGTGCATTTAGGAATCAGTGTACCTAGAGAGCAAAGACAATGATGCCTGTAAACTAAGAATTTGACTCATAAATAAAAGTTATTTATCTATCTGTATACATATTAAGTGTTCATTTCGCGAGCTTTTTATAGCTTTTCTCACCAAACATCTGTCATAATTTTGTTTACGAATAATTTAAGATTAATTTTATACAACAAAATCTCCTAGAGTGATAGCTATAAGAAAACTAGTATGCAACTTTAACCAAAAAAAAGATTGACAACAAACACCTGCACCTACCTCAAACTGACCTCTAAGATCAACAAGTTAAACCAAGCTTGAATCTAGATCTGATTCAGCCCAGCTAAAGCTCAGCTTAGCTTGAATCAAGATCGAAACTGGCATATTTCTATTGATCTTGAGCCAGTGTAATTTGGTCAACATTAAATAATTAATTTTAGGAATATAATAAGTAAATATTATACAATCTATGCTATTCATTTCCACCTATAATTTGATGAAATAATAGTAGGAAATAGATGAAACAAATTGAACAGGTAAAGTTCAGAACATGTGAGAAAACTAATGAGAAATATAATGGTATAAATAAAGCTGAAAAGTAAAGATGGTTTAACCATGGTTTAAAATATCTTTTCACTGAGTTGCTCTAAGAAAATAGAAGGCTGCTTTTGTAAATGCTTATTTATTTACTCCCTGCAAATAGTGAATAGCAAGCTTGTCTCGAAGAACAAATACTGATCAACTTTAAAGAACAAATTAAGTTAAAAAATGCAGTCCATATACCCTTAACTTGACAAACCATAAAATTTTGAGTCGGATGTACGTAAATCATCCTAAAAAACATCTTTCTGCTTCTTCTAATTTCAGCCACAATGAATCAATCAGGTAGCATGGAAAATTCTAAATCCCCAATCCAACATTCATACAACTAAAGACCTAGGGCAACAGGAAGAATAGATTAAGGAGGACCAGAACACCAAACCGGCACATGTTTTCTCTTTGGTGAGCTTGTAAATGAGCACCGAGATTCCAACGGCGTGAACGGCCTCAGAGGCGACGAAAAGATTATCGTGGTCGTGAACCACGAATCTAAGGAAGGCGAGTGCTGCCATCCCGGTGACCACGGAGAGGAACGCTTTGATCTTCGGCGGCTGCTGCCGTACCCATGCCCACACCACGCCGATCGATCGCTTCGAAACCCTCATCCTCAACGCCGATTGCTCGATCCCTAATCAGCTCACCACAAGAACAAAAACCTATCTAGAAGAACGAAGAGAGGGGATCTTCCTACGTTGAGAACCTCTGGTGCAGGGATCGGATCAGTACAATGTTCCGCCAACAGAGTTGGAGCTCGGAGCTTCGCTAATGGCCGAATCTTTGGAATTTTTTTCTGAACGGAAAATTTACAGTATTTTATGACACAATTATTGTATATTTAATATTCATTTATATAATATTTTAATATCATTATCACATTAACATTTGAATACATACAAAAATTAAATTTTATTTTTAAAAAATAAATATTTATTGAAATTTAAATAGGCATAATTATATAAAAACCACTTAAAATATTGGCATTTATAAATTAACTACCCAAAGTAGGGTTGGGTACATGAATCTATTTTATCCCGTATATCCTATCGAACTGATGTATTTATGTTTGTCACCAACAAACTATTGAGAACTTGATAAAAATGAAAAACAAAAGTTGGTTGATTTGTAAATAGCAAATTTTGTGTGGTAAATACATAATTGTGCAATTTAAATAAGTATTAAACATTTAATTATTAAATAAATAAGTTTTTTTAGTTTGTAGTATTAAAAATATAAATATATGAAAATTAGATGATATATACATAAATCCTCTAAAATAATCTAAAGAAATTTAATTATAATATCTTATAAATAAACTACAGAATTCATCAGTTTAATATTTTTAAATTTGTTGATTTATTAAGTTTTTGTTAAGCCTAACTAAGGGTGAATTTTGGGGGTTGTTTCTCAAATACCATAATAACAAGGGGTGTTTGCATACATACCACATAATTCTTATGTATTTAGATGTCAAAAAATCTAAACTTTCATATTTACGTACATAACTCTCGAATAATTAGTATCACATCAAAAATATCAATATTGCCTATTTTTTAAAAGTAAAATACATATTTTCATGTATAAATTATGACATCGAGATATTATAAATATAAATATGAAAGGTTAAGTATTAGATATGTAAATGTATAAGAATTGTATGGAGGATGTGTAAATTTTCCAAAAAAGATAAATATAATAAATGGAATAACATCGTTTATAATAAGTCGTGACATAATGGGGAATATAGCAGTGCTCAAATAGATTTCTAATATTTGATTGTCCCATGTTGAAAATTCTTAAGATCATTATAGATTATATCCATTTATATGATTTTTATTGTTACAAGCTGACAATCATTTTAGTATGTAAGGTCACGTAATGTCCATGAATAATGCCCAAATCCTATAAGCATTGAGAAGAAGAGGGAGAATGAAAGAGAGAGTTTGTCCCCTCTCTTCTTCTTCTCCTCTTTCATTTTTACATTTGAACTATATTTATAAGTCATGAGATGTCTTTAATCTTAATATAAAAATATACAAAGGTACATAATGGTAAGTCATATTTATCAACTTACGTCATATCCTACAACTCTATCATCTCCAACGGTTTTATTTCACACCCAACGGTTTTATTTCGTGCCCAACAGTTTTATATCATGTCTTTCTGTGTAGCTGAAGTCGAAAGTTAGGCTCAGTTCGCCAAATTAGCGGGCGGGATTAGCTCAGCTCAATTCTGCAGCTTGATAACTTAACGGACTTTTTTATGTGTATATATTCAGTTCTTTGATTCCCTCATCTCTTTGACAGACAACTGCGAAAAGAATAGCAAATTAAAAATATGAAGTTATACATTACACGTCCCTATAAGACAAATGTATAATTCATTTATCCGAGAAATAAATTTGTTGATACAAATTAAAAATTGAGTGTTGTATTGCACTGTATATTGATCATTCATATATATGGGGGTTCTTAGCAATCTTACAGAGAATCATCCTAGGGACATTTTGACTATATATTTGAGATTTCATCCTAAGTGCATTATGGCTCACCTTCATACATTTTATAGGTGACTTAACGGTCTTATAGGGCGAGTTCCCTGAGTATTATTAGTAAGAAATAGATTTCATCATCTTTTTATAGGACTAGATGGATTGTTTCCTTATAATATAACTCATTTATAAAGAAATTAAAACAATTTCATTGAATTCAAACTATCTCTCACCTAGGGGTACTTTGACTACACCTACAGAAAGCAGCAACCGTAATTTTTCAGCTTTACCTATATTAAGATCTCATGGTCTTCAATCCCTTGATTTCATCCTCATTCAACCAAGTTATATTTCGAAAAGTGATTCCTCAAAATCGTCCCTAACATTCGGATATTGAGTGTGGTAGAGTCTAAAATTTTGGACAATTTTTTGTTTACCGTAAAGAAGCTTACTTGTGAGGAGCAAGTTCCTTGATTTAAAAAATGAAAATACAAATGAAAAATTATATAAAACAAATTAGAAGTAGTGGAGTTTAAAGAATGTAAAAATAAAAAATTTAAGGATATGATATCTTATCTCATCCAGTGCAGATTCCTATAGTGATCCTTGTTGTCCCTCCGAAGATGTCTAAACGTAACTTCAAATTTAAGTAATGCATCAATGTTCACCGCACCTTTCAAGATGTTGAATCTTTTTAGAATATAAGGTCCCATAATGTACGCGAGTTATGCTCAAACCCTATTAGCATTGAGCAAAATAGGGAGAAAGAGAGGGAAGGGAGGAGGAACCCGTGGGAATAGAGAGCACTGTCTTCCCCATTGTTTTTACATTTGACCATATTTATAACACTTATGTCTTTCTTTTTCATGATGCAAAATAAAATTATAAAAATATACATAATGTTATATCGCATCCTGCATATATATGTCACATTATACAATTTTATGTTATGTAATGCAGTTTTATGTTAAGCCCTTCCACGTAGTTGAACTTGATAGTTTGACAGCTCGACTCAGTCCGACTGCATTGATCGTTGGGCTTAGTTCAACCACTTCAGCAAGAGGGACAAGTTAGCTAATTTTGACCATTTTGATTGGTGGGCTCAACTTAACCACTTCAACAGGAGGACTCAATTCGACCACTTCGTTAATTCGTGAGTTTAGCAGCTTGATGGCTTGGCTCAATTCGGCTTGGTTTGACAGCTTGATAGTTTGACGAACCTTTTTAAGGGTATAAACAAGCATTATGAAAATAAAATAAAAAATATGTATTAGTTACAATTACTTTTTTTTTTGTTCAACGTAAATCAAAATTTGCATTTGTGTTGAAGTTTTAAAAAACATAAGAATGCCTATTTTGATAAATTCATTATCCATCAAAATCAAATGAATTTCAAATGCATGAAGAACTCACATGTCACAATCTCACCTTCCTCATTCACCATCACCAACTCCCTCCCGCCCCTAACAGCAGCTAACTGCTCGTCGCTACCCACCATTGCTAGTCTTCACCCAGTGCCTACTGTCATTTGACACTGCACGCTACCACCTGTCGATATATTTAAATGTTGTTCAAATGTACCCCGGCAGACAAAAAAAGTATTTTAATTATTATTATTTATATCCAGTCAAATTACTTAAACATTTTAAAAAAAAATACATGTATTTCATTCACTCTAAATTTTAACATATGTGTATTTTAAAAACATCTAAAAAATAGTCCTAAGAATAATGCTTCAATCTTGAAAGGACTTCATAGATTTTTTTTTTCTTTTATAGTGAATAACATACATATCTACAAAATATCTTCTATAAGTTACATTAACGTGTTAGTATCCACATCAACAATGCATAAGAAATAAATAAATAAAATAATAATAATTGCATTTAAACATTTTAACCATGGACTGACTCATTTAGAAATTATTGTCATCCACATCAATAGTTTTATGCATTCCATTTTTTGGTCAACCTTATCAATTCTTATTTTTATTTATTTATGTCAAGTGTTGTTTGACAAATAAAATAAAATTTTAACAAATCATTATCCATGTAAATTTACATCTATCATTTTCTTTTTTAACGCCCGATTGTATGTTTCCATCTCCATTCTCTGTTCAAATTATCTTATGTTTATTTTAAATTAACTTACTTTTATAGACATCACTCTTGATCTGTCAGCAGAAAATTCACTTGATCAAACATAAATCTTGATCCAATTATGATAAGAAAATTTTCATGGTTAAACTTAATATCATTCAAGCTCCGATTTTAAAAAATTTATAGTAAAATTGAACATTTGATTATTAGAACTAGATGTCACTAAAAACATTGCAATCCGGCCCGACTAAACTCAAATCAAGCATTTGAAGCACGACTAAAAGCTTTGAGGAATTAATTAAAATGTCAAATGATATCTAAATTTAGCATAATTAAAGGTTGACAAAACGAATTCAACGAGCCCAATATCACTCAATTTTTAGGTAATTATTAAGGCATTTAAATGCTAAAGAAATAATGATTGATCAAAAAATAGACATGAACCATCCAATGAAATGTTTTTTTAATTTTAGCTAAATTTACTTAAAATACTCTTCCAAAATCCTATAAAAAATAATGACATTTTTAACATGTGAGAAAAATTTAAGAGCTAAGTGAAGCTAACGACCAGTGACCATCAATAATTGCCACCAACCACCAGTAATAGTAGTTGTAACCCAGCTAATATCCTACAGTTTTTATACTTTGATTATTACTATCAGGTTATTATTAACTTATCTTTATAGTTCAGTCGGAACTCTATAATCACATATGTTTCACTTAGAGAGAAAAGTGAATCTTTATACCTTCCAATACATAATAGATAATTCTGACTGGCTAGATACCTTGATGGCTTTCTTTCTGGATTATTTATTTTTTACACACACCTTTTTCCTTAATGTACATCAAACTAAAAATCACTTACTTGGTTTGATCAATTCATAATATATTTTATTACATTTTTCATTAGCACTTTTAAAATAATTTATTAACTAGTTATCATTTAATAATGTTTCAAAACATTAGTTTTATCATGTATTAAGAATGACTCCATCATCTTTAATCAAAATTCCTATTACCTTCATTTAATAAAGTTTTAAAATATCTTATCTCTTGCATAATACATTGAAGAGATTCAACTAATGTAAATTAAATGATTCCTAAAATCCCACTGAAAGGAACCATAATTTTAGTATAATGGAATTAAACATGAAAGATCACTTTGAAAAGCTTTTCCTACCATACTGTAGCTAAAAAATGGAACTGACCTCAAAGGTTAACTAAACCAAGCAAGATATAGAAAACCAAGTAGAATCTTCTCTGCTGCCATCCCTCCTCATGAAAGCCAGGCTAGAAGAACATTCTGTATTGAGAGCATAATAGTGAGTTTAAGAAGAGAATAAACAAAATAATGGCTGCAAAATCAAATATTAACTAAATAAAAATTATATTCATACAAACCGGTCTCAATAAGCCAGTCAGCCCAAACAAGCCGTCTAGAGTTAGTGAAGCACTCTGATCTGCAAAGAAACATGGCGCCTACCCCAACGAGTCGACCGCCAAATGTATTTCTTAGTCCTTTCCACACATGTATTGCTCGTTCTATAGCTTTCTTTGTAGCGCTTTGAGACACCTGATCCTAACTTAAAATAGTGGATCCTGTGGAGAGCCAAGAATTTGGCAATTTTAACTCTTTTTCCCCATGTTCTCTCACTGCAGTATCATGAGCCATATTTTTGTGAATTTGTTTCTTTTGCTCTGTCTCTTTCCCAAATTTTCTCATTTCATCTGAATCAGTATGTTTTGGTTATAGCCCACAAGCAGATCAGGATTCAACAAGTTGCAAAGTTCCCAGCAAAAAAACACATATTCAGAAAACAAAACCACCTAACTTGTGCATTGTAACTTAGTCATCCTTAAGCAACCTTCCAATCACCATTCTTACACAGACAACCATAAGCTCGTTAGGTGGAAGCAAACAATTTCAAATTTTGTCAGCTCCACTATAAACCTCAGATCACCCAGCATCCATAGTAAACTTTAAAAACATTGATTTCAATTCTGAAGCCAAATCTCCCCTTCCAATCTTATGTAACTCCTTCAGCGCCTTGATATAAACTGGAAAGTTGGGCTTGAGTCTCTTCCCCATCATCTCATGAAGAACACCGGCTGCTTCTATCGCCCTCCCTGATAATCGGAAAAGATCAGCCAATAAGCTGTAATTACAGTTGCTTGAACACTTATCCTTCACACTCATTTCAGTAACATAATTATACGCATCTTCAACTCGGCCAGACCAAAATAATCCTTTAATGAAAGCTGCATGAGTAGTGGGCCTTGGCTTAAGCCCCTCAGACAACATCTGGTTCAGAAACTCCATTGCAAAATCCAATCTTTTAGCTTTACAAGCATGGGAGGCCACCACCTCATAGCTAACCAAATCTGGAACATGACCACCATCTTCCATCAACTGGAGAAGTTCGCAGGCTTCAATAACTCTGCCGTTCTTAAATAAGCTTCCAAGCAAGTAATTGTATGATTTGGTATTTGGATCACATCCATGTCTTCTCATTTCATCAAAAGTATTCATTACCTCGCTAAATTCACCATTTCTACACCTCGCCGCTATCAGTAAATTGTAATGTGAAGTTTTTCTGATCGTCTCCTCCATGACAAAAGATGCGAATTGAAAGCAATTCATGGCGCAGAGGAGTTTGATCAATGAGTGAATACCAGAACTTCTGCAGGAACCTCTTATGGAACTTAAAACTTCAGTTACTCTTTTAACTGAATCCTTCATAGAAGAAGAGCTGCAGAACTCTAAAAAGGTGAAAGCTTTCTCTGTTAGACAATACCCTTTATCCGAAAGCTTGCTGAGTACATCAATCATGGAAGTATAGTCCTCTGATCTGCCAAGATTATTCACAATCAGGTTATAGATTTCGGAATCAGGTTTAAAACCGGGATTAGAGTTCACTACCCAATCGAAAAAACGTGCTGCAGAGACACCACGATCATTCAGAACAGAAAGAACCTCGGTAACTGTAGCAGAAGAAAACATGAGCTTCAACTTATCAAGTTTGGGTTCCATGTCTTCCGCATTCCTTGAAATCTCCTCAACAATCACAGCAAGTTTCTCAGGCCCCAGACCAATATTGCAGGTCATCGAACTTCTTCTATCATACCTCGCCATGGAGCTGAATCTAACCACATAATGTTGCCGACCAGGCATTCGATAAAATGACTGAGACGAAGACCGAACATTGGCGGGCAGATTAATGGGAAGTAGTCGACGAAAGAGAAAACCAGTGCGTGTAAAATGAAAGTAGGAACTTGCAGACAATGTGAGATTGTGAGCCAGAATCGGACTTCCGTTTGGAGAAGAAGGTTTAACGTTAAGATGAGGAGTGGGACAGAGGCTCATGGGGTTAACGCACTTGGGGTTAGAGTTTCGAGGAGAAAGCATGTACCTACAGCGTAGGAGAAGGGTCCCTGCGTTGCCCTTTTTAGGATCCATGGAAGAAGAAGATGGGAGGTTTCACAGCGGAGGGGAATTAGAGTGTAGAAATAGATGGCATGGATCTGCGTGGAAGACACGAGTGTGAGATTATGGTTCTAATTTGATAGATGCTTTTAGCTATTACAAATTTTAATGCAAATTTCTCTCTCTCTCTCTCTTATTCATTGAGTGTGATTTGCGAACAAATATGAGTTCAATATTGTAAAAGATGCATTAAACATGAAATCATGCCTAAATAAGAAAAAAAACACTCCAATGAGAAGCACCAAGCCTAAAGAAGCAACAAGCTGTTATGTTAACTTTGAAATTTATAACGATCGACTACGAAGCGAATAAATATAGCACGAGAAAATTCACACAAAAAACACACAGATTTACGTGGTTCGACAAATTGCCTACATCCACGAAGTTGCAGAGGATTTTACTAATTGAGGAATTTACACCATTTGATCACAACTACAATTAAAGGATCTCTCACTTGCTCTTTCTCTTTTCACCGAGATTCACCCCAAGTGCTTCGTCTTCAGGAAACACCACAAACAACAATTCCTTCTTAATGTCTTCACCTCAAGCAAGAACTCCTTCCTGACTTCACCGCGAGAAAGAACTCATTCTTCCTGTCTTCAACACAAGCAAGAAATCCTTCTTTCCTATCTTCAACGCAAATCCTTCCTTCAACATTAGCAGAAACTCGAGTAGAGGGAGCGGAGGAAGAGAGTTTCTGTTTCGCAAAACCAGAGAATGGAGAAAGGAGTAATCGCGCGGGAATTTCTCTCTCGGCGGGCTTCTTTCGCACGCAGGGACGGGAGAAATCGCAAACGGACGGGGAGAGATAGCGAACGGGAGAGAGAGAGATAGGTTAATCGCGAATAGGAGCGGTTCGCGAAAAATAGGAGCGAGAGAGACGGGAGGGAAGAAATCGTGCAGTTATTCCCTTTTTTTTTTTTTTTTTTTTTTTTTTTTT